ACATATTGGAAAACGAGTATTATATTTTCAACAGGCTTGCAATAGCGATAATCATGTTTCTAATGAATTTTAAAGCTTTTGCATGGTTTGAACTACGTCAAGACACTAATTCATAACGATTAATTGAAAGTCATTATGATCCATTCGAATGGCTCGGGATGAGGTTTTTCCCCCTTGGATATTTCCAAAGTCATCACCGAGCAGAAAGTTATCTATTTTACCTTTGATAATTATTGGTGGTGTTCTGGTAGGGATAACGATCCTTCTCAGAAAGAATGAACCGACGAAATCAGGTGCATCTACTTAATTAAATTTTTGGAACTTCCTTAATATTTCTAAAGAATTGTGTTTTACTTTATCTTAAACAAGTGAAATTGTATTTGTTAGTTTTTTCTCAACTGTTGTAGTCTAAATAAAAGAAACTTCTGTCTGTTGCTACTTTGGTGTTTTTGAAATAATCGTCTTTAGTGTGAGTGTTTAAAAAACGAATGCTCTCACTTACATCTAGAACTCATATTGATGCACACGTTGAAATCAACATAACTCTCAGTTAAAATTAAAGCTGCCGAGATCGTGACTGCGATTTTAACTTATTTGTGGGCTATAAGACTGCTGTGAACCCATATTCACACATCCTACAAATGTGCTCAGAAGAAAAAAATTTATTATAATCATTAATAGACAATATAGATCTATTTACTTTTATTTACAATAATACAGTTCTATTATTATATTCTGTAACAATTGATGTTATCTGCCGTTTTGATGGCTAATATATTTGTACCAAGTACGACAGCATTGTTAAATGTCGGTTTGTATGAACGCTTTGCCTTTACTTGTCCATCTTTACTAACATGTAAAAGATGTGAATTCTTGTGATCGATTACCAACCATTCGTTATGTTTGAGTACACAAACACGATTCTTCCAGGGTGCAAAACAATATGCTGCATTAAATGTGGTTGACCAGAGTGGATCGAATGTTGATGAAGATCGAAATTCTATGCGATTTTTGTTGTTGGTTCTGTTTTCTATTATTAAAGCAAGTGTTTCATTGTCATAAGCAATATTATTGATAAGCTCGTCGTAGTTACAACTTTGAGGAGATTTCCATTGTTTCATGAATTGAAATGACGATAAAATATTGAATTGAAAAATATTAGAACCTGGTACATTTGTCGTTAGAAATAAATTCCCATGGATATTCTTTTACATGAGTCAATTGCTCATCATATAAACATAAATTTGGATATTGATCTACTAACAAAAAATGATTGTTGCTAGTCATGGCAGACCAATTATCTTTGGAACAAGCAACTGTTCGATAAGGTGACGACAGAGTTGATATAGTAAGTTCATTCGATGCCCATTGTTCGATATAAACTAAATTTTGATTAATAATTAAAGGATTGACATCGACTACAATGCCATTCTCTTCATATTGGTTAACATCACGCTCGATACCATTAATAGTTGCTTTCAATGAAGAAATATCGTCATGTCTAGCTTCTTGTTCTCGAATAAGTTCATTTATTTTTAATTTTAATTGATGAAGTTTTTTTCGTTTTTCAACAACTTTCTCAACATAACGCTGTTGAAGTTCTTGACATTTTTCTTCATAAAAACGATCAACTGTAGCATGACATTCATGGCGCCATTTATCCAATTTTTGACGATATTTATCAATAATTTCATCAACATTTAATAACGACAATTGATTATCAAGAGTATTTATTTCGTCTGCAAGAGGATTCATTTGTGAATTTATTAAATCAACACGTTCTTTCAAATGATCAAGACAAATATTGTTGTTCCAACAATGACATATTGCTCGTGATTTACGTTTGCATGTTTCGATAGCACCCGATAGAGACATTAATTTATCGAAATAGTGATTTTGTTTTGTCAGTTTTTGCAAGTATATATATAGTGTTCAAAGGAAGCGAAAAATGAATGAGAAGATCCAACATCACCCGTCAAATATATACAATAACCGTCATGCCTATCCATTGTGATTGATCGTCAATAAGAATAATATCCTTCAGTAATGTTTCGACTAATTCAAAACAATGGTACATTCATCATGCCGACGTTCGTTCTATCTATGGATTGATTATTTCCTTGAAGGTAATGAAACGAGAGTTTGCTAATAAAAACATAATAGATGAGAAAGAACATGATACAAAATTAACATTACGATCATCGAGTGATGTTTTATTGTTTCATATTAACGAGATTTTGGTTTGTGTTTGATGGATGGTTGTACAATAAAGAAAGAAACGCTATGACTATTCAAAGATATTTTTCTGCTTTAACATCATAAAAAATTTATTGTCAGCATCGTTCATTTACTCGGAATAGTTTCAGAATTCATGACCTTTTGTGAGAGCTTGAACTATTTACAGTATATGGTGATATCAGTCTATGTCCTTATACAATGAACATATAGAAACTTCACTGTCACATGGCTGAAAATCTGTTTTTATTTGATATGAGTTACATAGTTGATACTAATGATGATTTAACCCATAGAAAACGATCAACAATATGACGTAAATGAGCTGCGTCTAGTTAAATGTCAACGACTTATTACTTATGAGAAATCACCTGGTGGTGAAGATGTTTGTAATAATTAAATCCAAGTAGAAATTATTCGTGTAAAAGTCTAACAAGAAATCCTTACAGCAAGTACTTACAAGTTTTCAGTTGATGTCTGTTTCACATATTATTTCTATGCTTGTATATAGTTCACGCTGCTGTAAAAGAAACAGCCTTGTAAGATTTCATTAGTATCAATAGTAGTTACTATATTTGTATCTTCTTCGTTTAGTTTCCAGGACAATTCGTACTGTGCTAAAATGAAGTATCCTGCTGGGAAATTACTATATTCTACGATATCGAAGAATAAAATTTAATATCGTGTTTTTTCAAAAATGTTGTACCCCTGTTATTATCATCAATGAATGTATTAAAACATTTAAAATAATTAGCAGATCTTTTCGTTCTCTGAAATATGTTATTGCCATTTTATTTGAAGAAAGATTCATTATATAGGCCCAACGGCAGTACGTAAATTATTGTGAGTATGTACTGCGGTCTTCGAAGCGAATGAAGCAACCAGATGCACACTATAGTACTTCCCCATTATTCCCTTTAGTTTATAAATCCAAGAATAAATCTACTCAATGTGCTTCAATTTCTATTATGCGTCATTCAATATTATTTTGTAGAAGAGAAATATGACCGTACGTGCCGTATCATACAATATTTTGGTACCTATTTATGCTGATCGACGAGAAATTTATTCTAGATGTCGGCCTGAATTTCTTAAAACCGATTATCGATGCAATTTAATTTGATCTCAATTAGAACAAGAAGTTCATCGTCATGAAAATACGATCATCTGTTTACAAGAACTATCTTTGACATTGTTGCTCGAGAAAAGCAAGCAAATCTTTTAACATCGGAATGCGACATGCAAGAACAACAACACGATAAGCCAGATCCATGGGAAATTGCTATGACTAGAGTCAATGCTCTCATCTGTATACAGGCTACTATTAACAATAAATCAATCTATATCTTGAGGGTGTGCGTGTGGGTGTGGGTGTGAATGTAACTATATCGTAAATATCCATCCACACTCACACCCTAAATTGAATTCAATGTTTACTGAAAGCGAGGCTTTCAACTTATTCTTAATACAAATAACAAAACAATCTAATGTCATTACTCAATTTATGTTCAACTAGAGTGAAAATAAGTTTAATGCAACATCATTATATTGTATTTTGAATAAAAACACAGGATATAGATTGTGGTTTAGTTTTAGGCTGATATTATTTATTTTAAATTTAAAGAAATTTAACTGTCAATATAATAAAGAATATTTATTTATTCTTAAATGGTTGCTGTATTTGATTTCAACAAAAATATAATTCATATAAGAGAACTGCATGTTTCGAACTAAAATAAAATAAAATAAAATGAATTGTATCTTACTAGAAGAAGATCGCACATTTTGTTCTAAAGAATTCTTAATTTAGTTTAAATTTAATTGTTTATGTACACTTATAAAAATATGAAACAAGCTTTATTCGATGTAATAATTTTATATCAATCTAAAATGAAAGAAAAAAATGTTCGCAAAGAATATGATATTTCATTATGAATTAAACTGGAATTAATATCATGTAATGGTTTTTTATTTTATCACAGGCCAATCCAATAAAAAATTGGTTTACTAGTACTAGAGCTATCTGTTTACGGTTAAGTTACAATAAAATGAATCGTATTCATTTTTTTTATTTTCACCTAATTTAAAATAAAACAAACATCCTAAATGTCTCTGTAATTAAAATATACTAAAATAAAATGGTTTTACAACACAATAATTCTATTTATTGTAACATAAATTTAATTAGTTTTGAAATAAACTATAATAAAAGATCTCGGTCATTTTACTATGACACGAAAATTACCGTCAGAAGAAACTGAGTTATTTTTCGATGAAAATTCATTGTCGGCAGTATTACTTGATGTGACGTGTGATTATTACTGTTTAAATTAGCGACTAAAATCGTATCATTATAATGGATTAAAAATCGATTAGTTCGTAATTATTGCGGCAAAATTTTTTGTATGCGATTTGACACGAAAAATCTAAATGACCCCAGTATATGTACCGAAATTGTGCTTTTTTTATATGAATAAATCTATCTGAACGGATTGCATGATCAGTGGAGAGCGTCATCTATTGACAACTCATCTAGTTATTATAGGGGCCAAGTTAAATATATTATCAATTCCTACAACTAATAGAGAACAAATATTATTCATGCATGGAGTAGTGCTGTGATTTTTTGCATCAACTATTTGATTGTTATTCTTCATGTATTTTATTTTGTTCATATTTCAGATGCACACAACCACAACCGCTGCCTCAGCTGTAGAGTTAAAAGTATGGGTTCAAACAGAAGGACGCGATGTAATGTGTCTGCTCTATGAACCTCATACTACAATAATCGAGGATTTGAAGCGAACGGTATTTGGAAATAATCGTGACAAATACCAAGCTTTTCTTCTTCAACAATATTTACGGCCAGATACTCTTGTTCCAGCTGACACGTCTGCTGCTGAACCAATCAAATTTAAATTCATCGTACAACATCCTAGTAAGTGTTATTTTTTCTACTAAAAAAGCAAATTATTCGTCTATATCTATATTTATTCTTTTATCATTTCATCTTCAGACACTGAAACAAACAACGATGCCGATGATATTGCTGATGCCGGTATTATAATGGATCCACCTGACGAAAGCAGAAGCAGAACAATGTCCAGTAATCGTCAGGTGGTATCCAAATTTAATAAATTTATGAGTAAGAGCAAATCAAATTGTAAGTAAAGCACAATATTTAATTATCTTATGACGGACTACGCTTTTAACAAAATCGATTTCTTCTATTTTTCTTTGCTATCGAAATTTAGGGTAGATTTTAGTGTGGAAATATTCAGCATAATATATGTAAGGTACATAGCGAATAGGTAGAATCAAATTAAAGACCAATTTGAAAAAGATATGAAGTTTTTAGGGGCAAGCAACGTTTGAGGTTAATATGAAAAAATGTTGCAATTAGAATCATGCTACCAGTTCCCATTCTTTTTTTTATAAACTGCACGCTTATTTATCATCTCGGTGACCAGAATTTTGACTTATCTAATTGTTTCTTCATTTTATATGTAGTTATAGTACTTTTTACTGGTTGCAATGAATATGATATTTTTATTTATTTGCCGAAGTACTGTTGATCATTAGTAAAAAAAGAAACAATATCTACTTAAATTTTACAAGATGTTTCTCTCGCGTGAATAAGAACTCTTTCGTTTTTACAATAATGAAATCTTTTTCAAACAAAAATTCTTTCTAGAAAAATGTCCACGAAGAGTTTCAACAGAAATGCCTAATTTTAATATACATCGTTGCAGAAGAAGCGAGTTATCATCATTGTGACAACTATGTTCTTTAGATGAAGTAAAAGGAGGATCAGGAAATGTACTCGAGTACAATTTTAGTCGTACTTCTAATGGGACTTGAAACATTACTACTAGTACTCGATAGATGTATATTAACATTTTTTATGAGTGTAGTACCCGATTCGTTTCTGTATATGATGCAGTCTTACATTCTGTTTTCATGTACTTGATTCATTCAAATAAAGTAGTATAGATTCTTTGTTGTAAAACTGCAAGCCAATAAGCAGATGGATATGGATTTCAATGCAGAGAAATGCTACATCCATCCCGTAATACAGAAAACCATGACAAATACATCTTCATTCAGTTTTCTCAATTTCAACATTGATACATCGTTTCTAAGACTACGAACTAAATATGCTCTAGCAAAGTCTTATGATACTTATTTGTACTCAAGAAAATGTGTATCTGCTCAGGTCTCAGCTGAAGATTTTGTAAAGATGACTTATCTCATTCAGCCCAAAAACGCGATCACAGAAACTTTTTGGGAGAATAGCTTAAGCTAGAATACCCATATTTTTCTCAGTAACAAGTAAACGGTGTTTTTTTCTTCCTGCGCTACACTTCAAGTAAATTTCATATTCTAGAATGTACCAGCACGATAAATGAATAAACCAAAACCCTTTTCCTTTGGTAATAAAATCTTTGAATAAAAAATTGTTTGTTTTGTAAGATGACAGATTCTAAAAGACTAGTACTTGATCATGTGATACAAAGTTTCACGCTGCAAGAAAAGCCATATTAGACTAGTGAACAAATATTTTCTAATAAAAATTGTTTTTAAAAGCCGACCATTTTTCAACAGAGAACTGGTTCAAGTTTGAAAAGTTGAAGTTTCTAGTTTTGAATAGCTACTTTAAATAATAATTGGCTTATTGTAAACACTATATTTTTACGTTTGAAATAATTAGATTAAACATTTATCTCCTAACGCTAAAGTACGTGACTCTTAACAATTTTGGAACCGAAAACTTCTCGAATGTTAAATCCTTCCGATAGAAAAATGATTTCTCGAAAAGAACATTGTTTGGCACGACCTAGAAGATAAGTTAAACAAGAGATATATTCTGTAGGAAATAAAAGATTTTGCATAGCATATTTTATCTTACATATAGTAGAAAAAGATCGATTTACTTCTTTTTTGTGTACTCAAAAAAAAAAGAGTACACTATAGAATCGGTCAGTGTGTCCGGCCGTCCGTTTATTCGATAACTCTTCACAATTACANTTTCGTGTTCAGGCATTCTAGAATGACTCATATGTCGCATGCACTTTTTGCAGTACACATAACTCTCGGATGAAATCCGAAGTTTCCACATTTATTATAACTATGAATCCGATGGGATTCTGGGCTACGAAGTCGCTAACGGGTCGGACCGTTGGATTCCGGTGAATAGCCAATAGTTATCCAGCTGTCGCAACCCGTGGAAATGTCTACGGGATTCCTCTAGGATCGTACTACCCCTATTTCACTTTCGACTCTTTGTTCTGTTATTTAACTTACAAGTTCACGTTCGCATGAAGAATGGGTCATATGCAGAGATGGATGCCGATGGTAACGAGTTGCGTAGGCTATAATAGGAGTGCCAGTTCACTCATACAGTCATTTACAAAAGAAGCAAGCTGAATGTAAGTTATTTAGTGAGAGCCCGAAAAGGGTGAAGTAGACTTGTAAACTATATAAATCGAGTTTAACTTTTGAGTTTCATTTTGCTTCAGTACTCTGCTTATGAATGCTAGATCTTGCCGCTAGGATCCGGTCGAATTCCGACAGTAGGCTCTGATTGGATTCGACTATCTGTTCCTGTTTCCGACGATATTTATGCAGGATTCTTATGAAATCTGTGGAATTCCACCATAATCCGATTGGATCCGACTGTAGGATTGATTCTTCTTGGCAGTGAAAAAACTAAGAGAAAAGCTTGAGGGTGTGGGTGTGGGTGTGGGTGTGGGTGTGGGTGTGGGTGTGCGTGTGCATGTGGGTGTGGATCTTGTCTTCACCCACACCCACACCCACATTCTCAACATATTCAAGTAGATATATTCATGACTTTATTGAAATGCTATTTGAGTCATTATACCAATCGATTAATACGTCAAATTAGTTACACAGAAGCATGTGTCCACGTAAAATTAGTACGTAGGCATCATCGTCATTTATTATCGAAACAGCAAATAGTCGATGTTTATCCACAAATCATTGTCGACATTCCTAAAATATCATTGAATCGAATTCAATTAGACTATCTTTCCAAAAGTGGTAAGTAGATATCTTTCTTTTATGGTATTATCTCAATCGTTAATTTATTCTTATCTATTCATGTTCTGATATGTTTTCTATTTCAAGGACGTAATTATATCAGATCAAATCAAAGTTCTCTTCACTTTTATAAACATTAAGAAAAACATGTACAGCAAGAATATAAGAACATTATGAATGTGATAACTCGTTATCCTATCTGTGAGCATCATATTCCACTAAAAGCAACAATTATCAGAGAGTTTTCTCAACAATTGGAAACAAGTCTACATCAACAATATATGATTCCATTATCTTATCTAAACATATATCGAACACGAAAATAATTCAAACTAATGAAATCGATTCAACATAGGCTAAAGAAAGGAAACTACATTCTTCGCGAAACAGATAAAAGTGGAATTTTTCATATTG